CTGGACGAACGTCTTGGTCGACGCAACATCAATATTTAAAGCAATTATTACATCGCTTTGATTACGAATCTAATCTTACCTTGCTAAGTTCCGTTCCCGTGTCCGACCGTCCTACTTTGCATTGAAATTTGATAACACTCCAGCGGATTCGTACGACAAAGCGCCTCGTCTTCTTGAGTAAAACTTGGGGTTAGGCGTAGGAGGGGACGATGATATCCTTCGGAACATAAGAGCGACGTATCTGGTTTATTTCTAAAATATACGTCGAATGCCAAGAAATTTGATAGAACTTCATCTCCCTTTGAACTCTTGAAAGCATAAATGTGCTAGCAAGACTTTATTATGCGTTGGTCTTACGAGATGTTCAGCCTTGTTGTCTGGCAGAATAATACCGACGTTTCAGAGGTGCGTACTTTCTCCATAACGATGAATATTCACCCTGAAGATGGCAAACGAAACGTTACGTAATTTTCAAAATTCTGCGTTCGGCTCATCCCCGAAAACCGTGGTTTTACACTGAATTCTACCCGCGCGATAATCTGAAGACAGATATCTCGCCTACGGTTACTTAGTCCTGTCTTGTCCGCAGAACCGCTTCCTTTGAAACTCCCCGCTCGAGGGGTGGGGCAAGGCCTGGTCGGACGTTGCTTTGAGTAACTGGAACCCTCTGAAGCACATCCTGCCCCGACAGCCAAGGATCAACTTACCCCTTTTGCAAACATCCCTCGTGGTGGAGAAGGTAATAAAAATTGGGCAAGGTCGAATGTGAAGATTCAATAAAATTTCGATAGGGGTTTGCGGGGGTTGGAACTGAGGACTATGTTCGGTATCACGCGACACCGGAGGTCTTCATATTCTGTGATGAAAATATACAGGGCTGTGGTACGAGAATAATAAAATATGGCGTGATTTAACTCTTCAGTACTCGGTGGTAACTATATTAACCACCTGCTCTAACATTTATTATTTCTTCATTTTGCTCACAGATTGGATTAGTGGCTTTTTGTATAATTCTCTTTGTAAACAGTGATCATTTCCTTAAACAGCGTTAACCAGTTGATCTTTGTAATAGTGAAGTGTAGTGTTTTCTTCGCGGTACGGACTGAATTCTTAAGTTTCATTTGAAAGAGCTTCGGCTCCAAAGGTTAATTAGCGTTTTAGTCGTATTATTTCCTTAAACAAGGTTAACCAGTTGATCTTTGTAATGGTGAAGAGTTGTGTTTTCTTCGCGGTACGGACTGAATTCTTAAATATCATTCAGACGAAAAAAATTCGTTCGGGTTTAAAAGGTTCTACTTATGATTCATATGACAAAAAGTAACATAAGAGGGCAATTT